ATCCGACATGTCCAGCGCCCCGTCCTGGGACCAGACCGCTCCATCTGACACGTCCAGCGCCCCGTCCTGGGACCAGGCCGCGCCGTCCGACACGTCCAGCGCCCCGGTTACAGTGGGGTGTGGCAATGGCCGTTACTCGATATAGCCCAGAAACAGCTGTAAGAACAGCGAACCTGCTCTCCTTAACGGCGGATAACTGGGTGTAGGTTGGCAGCTCTACCCGGCATTGTTAGCATGCAGCATTCACACTCCAGCCAGATGTACCCCGCAAAGAGCCACTGCTTGCAGTGTCCGCGGTCAGGGTAGCTGAACTGGTGCTGAACGTGGTTTGGCTGCAACCACAGACAAGGAGCAGCTGTTTGGCGCTGGTGCTGCTGCACCTGGCCCTGCCGCTCGCTCGTTATCACTCAGGACTTTCAGGTTTGCTTTTTTAAGGGAAAAACCTGACAGGCTAATGGCCTCTTCTCCCCCCCCCCGTCCCCCTACGCAACCCTCCTTTCTTGGGGCAGAAGGTGCCTGATAAGAAGCCGCTGGGTGTCAGGCTGGGGAAGGCAGACCCCCACTCAGACTAAAGCCTGTTCTGACTGGGGAGATGGTGGTAGCTAGAGCAGAGAGGACGTCTAAGATACTGCTCATTACCTGAAATGATACAACGGGACCTGTCTCAACTGGCTCTTGCAGCAGATGGGGACATTCACACCCAAGTGAAATGACCGACTGGCAGCATCTGCGGAGGATTCTTGGTCAAACCAGCACTAACTAAACAGGCTTCTCCCTCCCCAGAGACTCTCCTCTAGGTGTGCAGGGAACACAACGGGGGATGGAGCGTCAGGGGCCTACGTTCTACCAGTCACTTAAAAGCTAGAATCCTCCTCAAAACCAAACCACAGTGACAATGATTCAGAGATGCTTCCGGGGTGTTCCTGTCCCCCATCTGTCCAATGGGGACATAACAGCCCTGTCCTGCCTCACAGGGGGGTTAGAATATAAATGCATGAGAGCTGGGGTTCTCAACCTTTCTTTCGGAGCCCCCACAACATGCTATAAAAATGCCACAGCCCACTTGCCACAACTGTTTTTCTGCATATCCAGTAGATGAAAAACTATATTAAATGGATAGTTATACAGCTAAACACACACACCTGTAATATACAAAAGAAAAGAATATAGGTACAAAAATAAACTGATTGTTTTTGTTTTACTTACTCAGTGTGAAACTTGTTGCTGATCAACAATTCTGTCTAGATGTGGGGGTGTCTTCGACAAGCACACGCACGTATCATGGTGAGTGTTAATCCTGGCTTGGTACTTTGTTTTCATTGATGTCACTGCCAACCTGCACAGCCGCAGCCTCTCCACCAGCCGGCTGGCCGGATGACCTGCACAAGCCCCAGTGTGATGGGCTTTGGCAGTGAGCTTTGGCTTTCTGCCCTGGGCCCCAGCGAGTTTAATGCTGACCCTGCTCTGGTTTATTATTGGAGGCTGCTTGGAGTAGTGGCAAAAGTGCAAAGCCAAAATACAGAGAGAGGGCCTGGGGTAGCGCCGTGAACTCTTGTGGTGCATTTCAGATTCACTTCTGTGCATGTTACAGTAATAACAGTGGTAACAAGCTGAAGTAACATTTAGTAACATCAATAGCCATGACCAGGTCTGACCATGACATTGGCCACATCCTCACTTGTTCGCACACACTTCAGAAACCACTTCATGTGGTTTTTTGGTGTATCTGGCTCATTTCGTCTGTGGCAGCCAGCCATGTGTTCAGCACCTACCTGGGACGGGGTCCCCATCAGGGGGTATCACCAGCATGACCCTGTGAGTCTCCCTCAGCTGTCCTACAAAATAGTACACACTGTGTATAGGGCTGGGCTGCAGACGACTCTGATCTGCACAGGGGCACTGGTGGAGAAGAACAATGCTGCAGCTGCAGCTCTGGGTTTGTCAGTCCTGAGAGGCGAGTGACACACAACACACACAATCCTTCTGGTTTTTAAATGTAATTGCAAAATTTGTAGATTTAAGCAATGTCATAATTACATTTAAACACTGGGAGGATTATGGAAAATCAGGGAGGGCTGGTATCTCTGCTGTCCGGCAGAGCCTGTCCCCATTAAAAAATACTTTTTTGTGCAGAGATGGGAGTAAAAA